TGGGGGGAGGAAAAGGCAGGAGGTCAGAACCCAGCTCGGGGAGGGAGCTGCCCCGTCCCAAGGGGTCTGAACCCCGGCCCAGCAGGGAGATGGGAGGGGACCTGGGATCGGGACACACCCCAGGACCCCACCATCACCCCAGGAAAGGTGCTGCCACCCGGCCAGGAGCGGCTGGGGATGCTGGGACGGGGTGATGGTGTGTTAAACCCACGGTCCTGGATGGGATGGGACCCCACAGCATGGCTGGGAACCCCAGGATGGGACCCCAGTCTGCTTGGCAGGAATGGGGTGCCTCGCCCAGACTGGGGAGCCCCTCGCCCAGACTGCCTGCCTGCCATCAAGTGCCCTTTAATGGGCCTGTAAAGACCTAATGATGACCCTTAATCTGGGCCCTGATGGCCGGGCTCCGCGGCCATTTCCATGTGAAAAGCTCCTTTCGGGGCCCTTTGTGCTCTTTGTACCCAGGGCTGTTAGGAGCTGCCCTTCCCCGGGGTCCCCTGCCAGCCAGAAAAGTCCCCCCCTGGCTTTGCGGGGTCACAGGTCCCCTCTTGGGCTGGAGAGACACCAGGATGAGCTCCCTGGTCCCGGTGCCCAAGAGCCTGGCACCGCAGGGATGGCAGGTTGGGTCTGCCCAGGGCTGCTCTGGCTCTCTGCTCCCGGGCCAGGGAACGGGCCCCGTGCCAGGGCACCCACTCCTGCCCACTGGAGAGCTCCAGTGGGACCTGGCCAAAGCACATGGGGGAAGTGGAGGGGTTGGACCACCTCAGGGTTTGATGAAGGATGTGTGTAAAAGGCTCCTCACAAGGAACTCTGCACATCCCAGGCATGTGTTGGATCCCACCCCACAAGCACAGGACCTCCCCAGCCACCCTGCGCCCGCCGCCGTACCGGAGCCAGCCCGGGGCACTCGTACACAGTGAAGTCTCCATCCTCATTCTCCTCATCGGATGATGCCGAGTCTGGCACCTTGGGCTCCTCTTTATGCCTGGAGGGAGAGGATGAGGATGCAGAGATGGGGTGAAGCAGCCAGGTCTGCTGTCTGCTCCCAGAGCTCCTTACTTCTCCATGGAGAGCATCTGCTGCTTTTGGTGCTGGTAGTGGTACATCTGGGCGCTCTGAGCCAGCGTCTTGTCCCCGGGCTGTGGAGAGAGCAAGGACAGAGGTGGAGATCAGGCCCTGGAGAGCCCCCAGCCCAGTGGTGGGTGTCCCCCTCCACGGTGGAAGCCCCTCACTCAGAGCACACGCCTGTCCTGAGCACCAAACACCCCACAGGGAGGGACATGGGTGCCTTACCGAGATCTTGTCATAGGGCATGGGGCTGGCCGCTCGCTGTGCTGAGTAGTCTGCTTTCTGCGCCAGCCTGACCTCCTTCTGCAGCCTGCCAGGGTGAGGAGAGCAGTTGGCAGGAGCCCCTGGAGCAGATGCCTCCATACAGGAGCCAGCAACCCCCAGGGAGGTCAGTCCTCCCACCCACATCCCTGTGATGGCACCCATGACGTGTGGCACCCCGGGCACAGCCACCTCCATCCCACGAGGTCTGGGCACGAGGCACTGACATGTCAGGGTGTCAACACCCAGTGCCACAGCGATGCCCAAACCAGGTGCCACCTGCTCCCAGGAGCCTTGTGCCTGGACAGGGGTGTCCCACCACTGTCCTCCAGCCCCAACCAGCAGTCACCACACCTGCAGAGGGACTGGTGAGGGCAGCTATTGCCTCTCCTCTGAACCCCCACACACCTGGGAAGCCCAGGAACAAGCTCCCCGGGCACAGGGACACGGAGGGACTGGCT